AGACCCTTCATCAGAAAAGGGGGAGGGGAAGGGGGTTTTGAAATAAAGAAATTCAGTTTTGCTTTCATTGGACAAAAGAACAATAAATATAAAGTACAGTAAATGATTGCGAATGTATTTGTGTTTGTATTCAGGTTCTTGAAGCTTCTCCGGATCAGACTCAAACACAGTACTTTCACATAACAGAGAGCGAAGAGGATGCTCAGGGCACTCAGGCAGCTGTTGCAGCTCTGCAGGACCTACGGTACAACTCAGAGAATGGTAAGTGAAGGAGTCCCAGTTGTGGGAACTTTCTGTAATGGCTTTAATTCCCCCTTCGTATCAGAGAAGCAAATTGGTGAGTTGTTGTGAAATAGCTTACTTTGCTTAAATTTGACCCAACTTGGGTACAAGGATGCTATATAATGCTAATAACTTAACAGGGTAATAAAGGACTTAAAACATTATTATATCTGGAACACTTTTATAATTGGACCTCTTTCTTTTTAACAACTTTGTCCTGGCAGCACATGCATATTCAGGGAATTATGAATCCCTGTTCAGAATTGTCTATCAACACATACCATTGTAAACTGCAATGACAATATTTTGCATTCATATCTGTCAATGTATAGTTGTAGGTGACAGTGTGAATTGAGTATTTAAATACACTGTCTGAGGTTATCGTCCTGAACGATAAAGTAGTATTTATTTAGTGTGAGCAAGACAACAGAACATTCCCCACTTTACTTGAAAGCATAAAATGCTGCAAACTTACAGCATTTGCAAGCTTAATGTTTTGGTACAGCATAACCTTTCATCACTGACTTTAGGCTATATCATACTACTCAGTATGTAATGTGCTATTTCTGAAAATGAAATTTTCCCAGGTATCATACCTGATAATTAGCAAGTATTGATTCAGCCTCCTGGTGTCTGGGTAAACAGAGGTATCCTATACTAAGGTTCCCAGGTTGACTTGCTTATTTCAGTTGTACGGTGCAACTGTGCTGCTATTATTGGCCCAACCTCCCTAGAACTAGAGAAGAAAATCAGAACCAGCTCTTGATCATTATCCAATGTAAATGTGCACTTATGTCAAAGCATATATGTGGATGATGGATGAGAACAGAGTCCAGTTTAGCTGTGATTTTATGGCCAAGATGTATTCAGTGTTTAGCTGCAGATGTTTAAAATAGTACTTAAATACTGTTGAAACCTGTGGAATTGCGAAATAGATTCAAAATGTCTGAAGTTAAAGGAGAAATTGGGAAAAACATATTGCTAATTTTATATGTTTTCTTTTATTCCCAGGGGATAGGATGGATTCAACAGCAGTGAACATTCTTCAGCAAATTATCGGTTTAGCTCCAGAACACCATGATGGTGCTGTTGCTTCTGTGGTTACCATGGCACCTGGCACATTAACAGTTGTAGAACAAGTAAGATTTCCATTCCCTTTCAGCATTATAAAGTCCAATGTGGAGTCAAATTCAGAAGGCAACTTCTACTGTATTTCTATTCACAACAATGATTCTAATTGTCCATTGGTTAGTATTGTAGCTTTGCATTGTTGACTTACAACCTCTAGAGCCAGAATTTGATTGAACTGGTCAACAGAGAGAAAGACAATTGACTGTATTTTCAACAGTCTTGGCTATATTGGAATGCTGTGCCTCCCTATTGCTTCGGTTACGTTTTTTAACAAATAAATTGTTAGCTTTAATAGCCAATCATCATATAATTCATCTAAACATTGAGGATTTTCTGGGATCACCAATGACAAGGTCCATTGCTTGATTAAAACTGACAGGCTAGAATGGCTTTGACAATTGAAACTGAATCATAGTAACCAGGTGAGAAACTGCTGTTCACAGCACCCCTTGTCAATGTGTACTTTCACTTGTGGACCATTGATTATGAAGTTCTCTGAAGTCATTTCACTTTTCTCGCACTCCAGTTCCCTTGCTGTTCTTCATTGCTACCAGCCTACATCATAGCAGGAAACAGCTTTTGTATCTTTACCTTGAAACTCTGATGAACAGCAAGAAAGGAGCAGCATCGTTTCCTTGGGCAGTGTCTCTGTCTGTTTTTCCCCACTCTGAAATTTTTAGTCCTTTGGTGGCCAAATAATTCAATACTGAATCCACACAATTTGCCACACATGGTGCAGGTGGTGTTTGAAGTAGCAGGTAGTTGGGACACTCAGGTTTTTGGACACTTATGTTATTTGTACTTGACTACATCTTGGCGTTACTAAAAATGATTAGCACCTCTGTTGCTGTGTCTTTTCCAACTTGAACAGTCTCGGGCAAGAGATTCCCACAATCAGTGGGGATACTGCATTTTTGGATTTTACCCAGTGACACTAATGGATTTGTAATATCATTCCAAATCAGGATGCTGTGTGGCTTAAAGAGGAACTTGCAGTTGTTGGTTTCCTCATGCATGTACTGCATTTTGCCTTCCAGCTGGTTAGAGGGCTTAGGTTGGGGGTTCCATTTAAAGGAGCCTTGGTGAATTGCTGCAGTTCATCTAACATATGGTGCATACTGCAGCCACTGTGCATCATTGTAGAGGGAGTAAATATTTACTTTGATGAATGGGGTGCCAACAAAAAGAATATTCAACTTCTGCCTTGTAGATGGTGAACAGTCTTTAGGGAGTTGGGAAGTGAGTTACTAACGTAGGAATTCCCAGCCACTGACCTGCTCTTTTAGCCACAGTATTTACATGACTGGTCCAGTTCAGTTTCAGGCCAAAGGTAAGCTCCAGAGTGTTGAAAATGGGATTTTCAGTAATGGTAATGCCATTGAATGTCAAATGGAGATGGTTAGATTCTCTTTTGTTGGAGATTGTCATTACCTGGCACTTGCGTGGCTTGAAAATTCTTTGCAACAGAAACCGAAGTTGCTGGAAAAGCTCAGCAGGCCTGGCAGCATCTGTAGTGAGGAATCAGAGTTAACATTTTGAGTCAAGTGACCCTTCCTCAGAACTCAGAACTTGAAAATTATTTGCATCTATTACTCCAAACCTGAATATTGTCCCGGTCTTGGTATTTGGACAAGGACAATTTAAGTCATTGAAAAGGCAGGAATAATACTAACCATTATATAGTCATCAGCAATTATGACAGGTCACATACAGACATCTGTAGCTACCTAGAATGAGATCCACTGAGTCAGATACATATGCATTGTCAGTGGTCATTAAGATATCTGTCACTGGAGATCACAATGTATCCCACTTCTCCTCCTGGATTTCTACCTTGCCCTCAGGTTGTGCAAGGAGAGAAAACTGAGATTTATTTGATTTGAATTGAATTATTTGCACTGTGTCAGCGAATGGTTTGGAAACAGGATAGAATTTACTCAAACAGTCTATTAACTCAGCTTATAAAATCTATTTTAAAAGCAGCACAGCAAATAGCCCCATATCTGAAACTGCCTCAAATGCTTCTGATAAAATGACAATTATTTGCCCAGCAATATTCACTGAGTGGAGGATTATACAAATGATATGGGTACAGTCTATCCCAGTCCTTTATAGCAGTTTCAAGGCTAAATTAATGATGGAATTACTCAGTCAAGTCCATCTGGCTGGAAATAGTGATATTACTATATGCTGTCACAAATTGAAGGACTTGAGGAGACCTACCAAAGCAAAGTAACTTTATTTTGATGCTTATGGGGAATCTCCAGGAAAAGCATAAGGTCAAGTTGCAGGAAGGGAGATTGCTGATTAAGTTAATGCAACCTCCTGACTGTCTAATATATCTTTGCAAATGAGCAAGCAGTCTGCCACTATCAGGAGGAAGGTGAAGGTAACAATACCATTATTCTTGAATTTTAGTGGGGCCCATCATGCATTGCACATGCCTGGATTAAGAGCTTCCTCAAGAAGCTATGTTCACTCATTGCACAAAATCTTCGCAGTCAGTTACCCATGGCAGTTCCATGTATAGTCTTGCGGTAACAACTATGATTGACAATTTTACCTTTTACAGCCTTGGCTCACTCAGGAAGAACATTCATTTATTGTCATTGAAGTTTTAGGTAAAAAGCCAGCACGTTTTGGAGAAGAAAAAACAAAATTGGAAGAGTCGGGGAGGACATTAAAAAGTATAGCATTCTGTGGTAAGATATCTCTGAAGTTGGAAATTCAGTAGGGAAGTTTTTCTAATTCTTTCCTTTTTGGTTGGTTTCTTACCCTCAGGCTGAGGATGAAACAGCAGGCAATCATGCAATGATGATCCAGCAGGCCTTGGAGCAAGCTTCAGTGGAGCTCGGAGAGGGTCATCATCTGGTAGAGCAAGTTGTAGTCTCTTCTGATGATGTGGAAGGGATTGAGACAGTGACTGTTTACACTCAGGGCGAAGAAACATCCGAGTTCATTGTCTATGTGCAGGAGGCTGTGCAAGCAGAAGAGCAAACCACAGAGCAGCAAATTGAGGAACTGTAACTGCTTCTATCATTTTTAACCAGGACTTCAGCTGGTTGGAACAAGAAGGCTCTAAAGCCCCTGTTTCTGGTTTTGTAAAATAATGGCAAGAATATTGGAATCAGTGTACCCTGTTCAAGTCAGACTGGCAGAAAATAACCAAACAGGAATTCTCCAGAAAAAGGGGCAATTGGCAATAAATTTCCTTCTGTTACTTCACGTCTCTATTTTGTAACTAGCTTTTTCCCAGTCTACACATATCCTTCCCACTCTCCCATCTACCCTAATCCAGTCACTCAAGTTGCTTTCCCTGATCTGTGCTTTTGTTTGAGTTGATTAGAAACAACAAGATGGCTAAATCAAGGAACAGTGCCACAGAAGCACTCAAGGATGTCCATACATTTATATCCATATACGCAGTCATGAGGGTGGAGGAAAGGGCTTACTAATTTTCTATAATACCACCTCATGTGAACAGGTTGAGGGGAGCAGTTGGGGGACAGAAAACCCAGACTGGTGAAACTCAGGGAGCCCAAAGATGTGGACGCCTGACAATAGAGTTTGGTTTGTCTTTCTGATTTTTTTTAAACGTACAGTTTCTGCCTGACGTTATCGTGAAATACAAATCCTCTTCGATTACAGATAAAAACAAGATTTGTATGAAGGATAAGGAAATTTTTAATTTATTTGCTCTTGATCGTGACTCAGAGCTATTTTCAGAGCCACATATCTCCTGAAAACTGGTCAAGGTATATTAGAATGTCATTAGGTCAGGGGTGGGAGCATGTTAAACTGATTTTCTTCTGTGCTGTAGGCTGTGAATGAAGTATCAGTGTGACAACCACATTGAATAAATCATCAAAGCAACATGATTTTGTGCAATAATTTCTACTTGAATGTTATTTAGAAAGTAATAGTATAAGTGCAAAAAAAATATAAAAATTCAGAAAACTTGCAGATGTTGGAATTCTGAAATTAACCGAAAAATTCCTAGAATATAGAACAATTCTTTCAGTATGTGTAACTTTAACAGATGCTGACCTTTAGTGATGAGCAGATGATGAACACAATAAAAAAGCATTTTTCTAATAGTCATCATGACATCACTGACTTCAGTTTGGGACTGAATTTTTGCTCTCAGATCAGGAGTGTAGTATCGGAACATTTCCTAGATTTGCATTCACAATCAGGATAAGTGACTCAGAGATGGAGTCTTAATTCCAGGATGGCCAGATTTTCTGGACGTTAGGCTAGGTGTACATGAAACAAATATAAGTTACTGGCTGCAGAGGCAGGCTGAGTGAAATCTATACCTTTAAAAAAAGTTCATGATTTACAAGAAAAAGTTACATGGTGGCATGTTGGTTAGCACTGCTGCCTCACAGTGCCAGGGATCTGGGTTCAATTCCAGCCTTGGGTGACTGTCCGAGTGGAGTTTGCATGTTCTCCCTGTGTCTCTGTGAGTTTCCACTGGGTGCTCTGGTTTCCTCCCACAGTCCAAGGATGTACAGGTTAGGAGGATTGAACATGCTAAATTGCCCTGTAGTGTCCAGGAATGTGCAGGTTAGGTGGATTAGCCATTGTAAATTTATAGGGGTATAGTGGGTCTGGTTGGGATGCTGTTGGAGGGTTGGAGCAGAGCTGATGCGCCAAATGGATTCTATGATTCTAGGAAGAACAGAT